AAACATAATATCGATGAAGGTAAATATCGAATAGTATACTATTAACATGTTAATAATAATGAGTGTTAAGGTGGGAAAGTTAATACAAAACATAAATTTGAATAGTCAAATTACTGAAGTAATAAGTAGTTAGTTTATTAGATACTTAAGTGTATTTATTTATTGAGTAAATTCCAACTACTAAAATATTCCACAAAAACAAAATTCTAATAAAATCTAAAGAGAGGAGTCGTTGATCACCTCCATTGGCTGTGCGTCGATGAGAGTTCTAATAACTTATAAAAATTTTAAATTCATGCTTGAAAAATTGAAGTTACATTTAAACTTAACCATTATGGTTCACAACAATAGGTATTGTAATGTAATTAATATTGATACCTTTAATGTAGTTGCTTGAAACTATTGGAATTATAAGTTCTCGAGGATTAATTTAAAATGTATAGTTATTTTAAGTTTATAAATACATAATGTGGTCCTAATTGAGCAAAAGTTGTTCTTAACTTAAGAATATTTAATTGATTTTTTTTTAATCTTGTCTTATGACTATGAGTATATGACGACTTATAGTATTCTTATGCTTAAATAATAGTGTACAAACATAGCCATGTCCATGAGTCTTGCCTGTCATGCACAGGCATGACTTGCAAAATTTGATATTAACAGGGGTATAACAATTGATAATACTTCCTTTGTTACCATTAGTGGTATATATTTGTATGTCCTGACTTTCTTAGCACCTTTTTTACAAGGAGATTTCTTCAGTTTAAGGGGGCATTTCTAGTGGCTTTGTGAATTTTTTTTCCTATGAAACAAGTACCCCACGTCCCACCACTAAATTCATATGAGCAGTTAGCACCCCCAAGTTAACCATTTTCAAAAACCAAAAATCTTAAATTTTCATATTTTGGAAAAATTAAAAACATTATATAATTTTATAAATAAAGTAAAATAAAATATTATAAAATGACCCCTTAAATTCACCAACTAGATTTACTTTCCTACCAAAAAAGATGCTGAAGTTGAACATTTAAGCATTCCAATACTTGTTAATGCCCACCTTGAATAATTTTATGTATGAATATGATTGAACAGTTGCTTATTTATTTATGTTTTTATTGATATTATAGAAAATATGACACCTAGGAGAACCTCATCAGCACCATCATGGTTAATTGATGATGTACCAGCCACAAAAAAAGAACAAGATGACCATTGACAATACGCTTAAAAAGTCAGAAGAAGCATTGAGTAACATTGCAAAGGCTTTAGCAGTACCATCAGTGCCACCATTAGATAATGCATCGCATAGCTTATCTCAATTTATAAGTGCTACGCTGCAATCTTTTAAAAATCCTACCCTTAAAATTGAAACGACACAAAAAATATTAAATATTTTAATGGAAGCTCAACTTAATGATATTCCTTAAATTACGTTTTAAAAAAAAATTAGTATTAACAATATACATTTATAGTCAAGTAAGACTGAGTAAAAGTTATTATATAATAATTTATTTAATAAGTAAAAAGTTTGTTTGTTTTTTTATAAATATTTTAATTTTATATAATTCCTTATACTTGAATAAGGTAAAAATGAAGTTTTGCTTTCAAAAAAAATTGTTTTTATGTTAAAAGTGAGTTTTTTATTTAATTATTAATAATACAAAAAATGACTGTCAGACTGTTCATTGGTATAATATACTTAAAAATTTCCTTTTTCCACAGCAATTTGCTGCCATGGTACTTCTCCTGGTCCATTAAAATATTTTAAAAATTCATCACGTATGTTATAAGCTGTGTTGGTGGATCTATTGCCACCTTGATTGAAGTTAATGGATCTCATCTGACATATGTTTTGTGTTTCTTCATTATCTATTACTTCTAGTACAGGAAATCTATTTCTAATGAAATTGTGTAATACACACAGTCCTTGTTATTAATTCAACTTTAGGTGGAGATAATTTATTTTTGTCACAAAATTCTAAATTTATTGACATAACCCAAAACCCATTTTTCACGACTCTCCGAGCTCGGCTAAGCTATAGTTTGCAATTCTCTGTTCATTGGTTAAGCCTCGTGAAGAATATGGCTTCATCAATTGCGGTCCCAAAGGAAATGCGTCATCTGCAATAATCACATAGGGAGTATCTACTTGACTTCCTGGTAGTGGTCTTGGAGAAGGAAGGTTAAGGGTATGGGATTCTAAAGCTTCTTTTAAGTTACTTTCTCTATATACAGCATCATCATGATTTCTTCCATTAGAACCTACATTTATCCAAATAAATTTGTAATTGGCATCAACTAAAGCAAGCAGAATAATGCTATCTGTCCCTTTATAGTTTCTATAGTATGAACCACTTGAACGGGGAGGTATGAAATTAATATGCTTCCCATCAAGAGCACCTATGCAATGTGGGAAATTCCAAAAAGAAACAAATTGATCTGCAATAACATCCCACTCTTCTGTTGTTGATGGAAGCCAAACATTAACCAATATACTTAATACTTAATTAATTAATTTAATTCATATTGATGGTAGGTACTAATTTAATTTTTATAATCACCTTAATTTCATTTTTAAAAGCTTCATAAATTGCATTCAAAGTGTCTGGTATAAGGATGCTCAATGTATTGGTTGCAATACGAGTAGAGTAATGAAGATTTGTATAGCTTTCACCAGTAGCTATAAACCTTAAAGTTGCTGCTAATCTGTAATATTAATATATTACCAGGGTCTGTGCTGCTAATTCAATTCTAGCCCCCCATGAAAAATTTCCCTAGTTATAGATATAAGTTAAAGTATAATAATAATAGTAATATAAAGTATAATATTATTAAGTATGTTAAATAAGTTTTGATTTTACCAATCTATTAAGTGTTAAACACTACACACTTTGAAAAAAAAAATTAAATATTCAATTCTAAGTATTTAAAAAAAAAAAAAAAATCGCGGAACAAAAAAATGAAGTTTTTGAAGTTTTTGATCAATAACTTCAAAACTAAGTTCGTCCGGGCTTTTTCTTTTTCATTCTTATAAAGCACCCTAAAACACACATTTTGGAAAAAAAAATTTTTAAAAATCGATAGGTTGCTAAACTAGAATTATGCCACCATGTTTAATTTCTAATGGTAATATATTATTGAACATTTTTGAACCAATATATAAGTATGTGGATTGTGTTAATTTTGTGTGCATTATAGGTACTTTGATATTAGATATTTGTCTAGTCGTATTATAAAGTCTAGTCAACTTATAAGTTGTAACCTTTCTGGTGGTTTTATACATTGTCTCATTACAGTATCCATTCGAGTTATTTTAATTAAAATTTCGTTGAACATATCCTGATCCATTCTCAAATAGTTCATGTATGATTTTTCATCTTCTATTCTACAAAGTACAAAATATGTTTTTTAATTTATATTATATATTATATTTAAACAATATAGGTAAGTACCTACATTGTATCTATTAAAATATGAATTTATTAACTTACAATAATTCATTTTGTAGCATACTAAAAGAACCTGGACCTTTTTCTCGACGAGAAATCCATTCTTTCACCCACACATTTCTATTTTTTGGTGCTTTTAATAACTTGTGTATTAATATTATGTTATGCCCAATAACACTAGCAGCAATAGCTAACAATTTTTCACGAGAATCCATACTAAAAACCAATCAACCTACCTATTTGTTTATTTATCAATATATAAATCAAGTCTCTAAAATAAAATGTAAAGAGTAATTGTAGAAACAAAATGAATTAAAGTAGTATATATTTGTATGTTCACAGCCAGCTTTTCCAGGGAAAAAAAAAAGTTCAAGGGGGGAATGTCCGCTTGGAGTACTCAGATTTACCGTGTAACACATTTCACACCGATTGTCTACCAAATTCTGCCTCGTAAAAATATTTACAGTATTTCATTTCTACTCATGTTGGTTACACTGTTTTTTTTATCTAAAATTTGATAAACAAATTTACAATAATTTTTAAAGTTGATTATTTTCTTTTATTATATTCAGTCATGACAAAATTTATTTTGTGTCACGTTCACTAATTTTCTCAACATCTCATCAAATTGTTTTTTTTCTTAGTATATATTTGTATGTTCACAGCCAGCTTTTCCAGGGAAAAAAAAAAGTTCAAGGGGGGAACACACGTGTAACACATTTCACACTGATTGTCTGCCAAATTTCGTCTCACGCAAAAAAAATATTTAATATTTTTTTCTTTTTTACTCGTGTTGGTTACACTGTTTTTTTTATCTAAAATTTGACAAACAAATTTACAATAATTTTTAAAGTTGATTATTTTTTTATTATATTCAGTTCATAGAAAAAGATTAATGATTCAGTTACTAATGATCTATCGTTCACTCAAGTTGTGTCTCATTTTTCTTTATTTTCTCAAAGTTTTATTAAATTGTATAAGTTATTTAATTTCTTCAAAAATGCACAAACGATATCCAGTCATTGGTCGATCAAATACGATTCAATTCAACGCCAGCGTATCCAGAATTCTCTACATTTGTATCGAGGTTACGAACTTTTAAAAGTTTCCCTTCAAATACCGGACAGAATAAGTACACACTCTCGGAATGTGGATTTTACTATATCAATCTCGACGACGCAGTTCAATGTCATTGGTATGGAATAATTCTACATAGTTTTGAAATCGGTGATAATTGTTTTATAGAACATCGATTCTCACCTAGATGTTTATTTGTATTGTTAATGAAAGGAAATCAGTTTGTTCAAAAAGTCTTAAGTAAATATTGTAAAACCGAAGTTATTTGTAATTGTGAAACCAGTTCGTACGACACCATTTGTTAAATCATGTTTTTTTTTTAAATGTTTATATATACATATATTTATTTATGCTGCTTATAATATTTGCTGTATTGGATAAAAAAAAAAAATAAAAAAATAAAATTTTTTATCTTAAATGTGTTAATATTCGATTTAATATCTCGTGGACATACAGTTCTAGCGAATTAGTGCGTATAAAATAATTTAAAATGTTTTTCAGGTAACAGGTTAGTAAGTATATGTAAATTCCCTCTCTTGTACGCACCCATTGGCTATCTGTATGTTCACATTTTTTGCATTTTTTTCCAAAGAGTTTTTTAGTATATAATATCACTGCAAAGGGAACAAACTAACAGTTCAATGTATAACTCCTAACAGTTATATCTCACTTCTTATTTATAAAAAAAGATTTTTTTTTTTAATTTGACAAAAATAACTTCACTATGAGTTCACCAATAATTGTCTGTAAGTCTACATTCGACATCCGGGCTTTTAACAATAAAAGTATTACAGTTGGATTACTAATTAACAAGCAGATTTCAATTATTTTATTATTGGAATGTAAACTTACAAAGAAAATTATCACATTAAGTTTAGAAGAATGGTTTACACTGATGTCTGAACCTAATTACAATTCGATTATTAATAATATAAATACTAAGGTGAGGCGTGTAAAAATCACTGATTCCTTTTCATATTCAACCAATGTTAAACAAAGTTTAATTACCCTACATCTAAATGAGGAATACATTACCTTGTCACATGTAGATTTGTACCGGCTTCGTCAATTACAGAATTTGATAGATTTGTACGTGGTAGACAAGCAAAAACGTTTAGCAAATTATCAATATACTTTCAATACTGCATATGACCTAATTAAAAATGATGTCCGTGGTCTGCCGTCCACCTGTCAGAGGAACGAATTTACCAACCAATATATTCAAAACTATTTTAATTATTATAATCAAATACAGAACGATGACACATCATTTTTATATGAAATATTACAATTCCATTTTAACACGTTGTCTGATATGATTTTACAAGATCTAATATTATAAAAAAATATTTAAATATGTATAATTACCTATTGTTTTTTTTTAATAAAACCTTTTTTTTCAATAATAAACTTGCTTTTTATTTTAATTACATCTCACCTTAAATCATAAAGAATAGTTTTAATAAGTTTTAGTTTTAATATTATGTTTTAAAAGTAGATTAAATTTGTTAGTATTTTAAATTACTATAATTTTTAAATTTTTAAATTTTCTTCCAACCAACCATAGTTTATAGGTTTATGTTTTCCAAGACCTTTAAGTTTTGAATAAATAAAAACATACATGTATAATAATATTTTGTTTATTAAATGAAACTCATTTTTCATAATATAATAATCAAACGGTCGTCTTGCTTTTAATAGTCTGACGCTTTGGATAGGTTAGTAATTTGTCAAATATGGTTTGTATTGTCTCATTAAGACCAGTATGAAGCATTTGATCTTTTGATTCATCGCTCGTATATAATCTGACAGTAGATTCAATGAACTTCCATCTATAACAGCAAATTATTTTATTTTAAAAACAAAAGAAGTAAATAAAATCAGTGAAAAAAAAAACAGAT